CTAACGTTCTGTGATTCTGTGATTCTGCAAATATATCACTCAAATCATAGGGACCAAAGGACTATTTGGAATATGGGCCATGAGTCTATTACTTTCCCAGTCAGAAAAGCATCCATTCTGATCAGGGCACAGAATGTGATTAGAGCATCCAAGGCAAATCAATGTGGTGACCTACTGGTACAGCTTCAGTAGCAACATGAGTTCGAGGCCTTGGGCATAGCCTTTCCTGCCCCCTCGCCCAGCAATCATGGAAGCAGAGTCCACAGCCTCCTAACTAAAAGACCACAGAATGGTTGAGGTTGGAAGGGACCTCTGAAGGCCATCTGGTCCAACCCCCCTGCTCAAGGAGTTCAGTTGCTCAAGTAAAATTTAAGGACCTAAGGTTGTAATGTGCTTTAGAACGTCATCTTTTGCTTTCAGGAGGAGGTAGATTTTTTGGGGGGAGATATAGTAGTTGTAGATTTTTAGTCTGTGAAAGTACTTCTTAGGTTTAATTAAAAACAAACAAAAAAACCCCACCTTACTTTTAGAAATTATTTTATGAGTAAGAACCACGGGGGGAAACTGAGAAATAATTTTTCCAGGTAAAAAGCTTTTTACTTCCAGTGAAGTCTGAATAATGGGAACACTGATTTTTCCTTCACTCTAGTGAAGTGAGGATCAGGGTTTACAGAAGGGAAATGGTACTGCATCCTTTTGAAGATTTGCTCCAAATTCCTTGTTCCTAAGACTACATAAAAGTCAATGTGGCCATACCTGAATGTAAATCTTCTTCCTTGCTTCTTCCCCAGTGATGACTGTACTTACTGAATATGGACTCATGTAACAGAATGCGCGTTTGCTATCTCAGCAGCATCCTCTCACCAAGATTGCTTGCAGAAAGTCTACCTATTAACTACAGCACAAATAATCCAAAACCATTTTGCCTGGATTAAGCTCATACTCATGTAGGAAGGGGTATTGCTTGGCCAGCTCAGAGTATTATACACTGCAGTTGCATTGCAGTCCTTCCTTCCTTCACTGAAGAGAAGATTTGCCCATCTGTAGCAGAGCAATGGGTATTTTCTGTCAGACTCTGGTCTCTGTAAGAGTGTGGGATCTCTTCCTGCGTATTCACTGAATACGTTTATCCAGCTTACTTCACTGTGAAGCTGTGCTGTTTCCTACTCTACAGTAGGTTGTAACACTTTGGTTAAGCTTTTGCCTATAACTTGATCATCTGGGTTTTTTCTTATGTGCAGAAAATGTGGCCCGAGTCAAATGAACTGCTGAATAGGATGCAGTCCCTTCAAATAGATGCTGTAGCAGAGGATACCAGTAGTGGTCAAGTAGGTAAGTCACTTACTAGCGCATCATTACTCTGCGTATTCTGCCAAAGATACAGTTGTGTACAAGTAATCTTACCTTAAGGGGTTATGAAGAGACTCAATTATTCAGCACTGCAGAGAGAACTGTAATCACTGAAAAGATTACATTTGCTGCCAGGCTCCCAAAAGTCATACTTGCCATTTTGAATTTTCCACAGTCTACAGTTTGAACCCATTTCATTTTACACTCTTCTGCTTTCCTCTCCCATGCCAAAAATTTTAACATTAGACTTTTCAATGGTCATTTTGATAATTATTTTCATACTTGATCTTTCTTCCCATCCTTTTAGTCATGCCAGCTTCTTGGTCTGTAGGCCTTAATTTCACGAAGACTTTCTTTTTTCCCACTCCAGCCTCTCATGAATGCTCTGAATAGGATCAGGGTGCATAATTATAACACATTGCTTTGTTTATGATCTTGCTCTCTATAGAATCTATCTGAGGAGCACCAATAGATTATTTTTTCTCTAATATTTTCTATCAAATCTGGGATCAGTTGCATGTTTCATGGTTTTGTAGAGCTGTCTGACTAATACACGATGATGATATGGTTACAGTTTTGTAATAGTGTATAAGAATTCTTTTACCAAAGTTTCTTAATGGCAAAGAATATAGGATCATATTTGCAACACTGATTTACAAGCAACAATATAAAATTCAGTAGCAATAAAAGCCTGCTAAGTTTTCTTACACCATTTGAAAGGCAGTATTAAATGAATAATGTTAAACTGTAACATGTAACTAATAAATCTTCCCCAAAGCCCGGTTTGCCATAACTGTTCTTTACTATAACTGATGGACTTGGTAGGGCAGCCCCACAGCTGTATTTTTAAATGAGTATAACTACATTTCCCTAGCAGAAATAATCATATATGACTGCAGCAGATTACAGGTGCTCTTGCGTTTTAAGTATAAAAGGCTTTACAGTGAATCTGCACTGCAGAAAGAGACTATCTTGACAGCCTGTCCGCCAAAGTCAGGTTTGTTTCTCCTGTCAACGGACATCACTCAGACAGCAGTAGTGAAAGATATCCCACAGATTCTGCTCATACATCTCAAGCTTGCCCTAGAGAATGGATGCCATATAGTTTATGCTAATACTGAATTGCTAATAGCTGTCACTTTTGATGAGATTGTTTCTGTATTAGCCTATTCCTCCCACTCCCTCTCTAGTAGCGATAAAAAAAGCAGCAGAGGAGTCAGACTGAAGGTGTACTAATACACAGCCATCAAAAGGAACTAGGTTTGGTCCTGCTTAATATGGACTGTTAATGGAATTTGGAAAAACAAAACAAAACAGTTCACTCGCATTATCTAAGCTAAACAGAAGCACACACATATACTTCATTCCAGTTTTACAGTGATTTGTAAGAGTCCTTTGCTTTAGCCAATGTACAATATTTTCTAGACAACTGTGAAGCTTTCAGAACTCTTTAAGAAAGCATCTGTAGCCCTACCCTTAAAAACACAAGAACAAGTAGTAACAAGCTGATTTTTACATTCTTTAGTCTTGGAATGCTGCAGCATGATCCTGATCATAACTCAGTCTAGTTCAAGACTGAAGTAGAGCTTCCTTTGATAGTGAGAATTAGTTTGAAAAAGGTAGATGACACAGACTATTTTATCTGGTAGGTGGTACTTATAAAAACATATTCTTTGGGACTATGAAGAATAAACTAGACAAAAAAAGATTCGTCACAAAATACCCAGATGGGATATTACACACAATCATTTGCAAACATGACTTTAATGACTGTGTGAAGTAACACTTATTACAGTGGTGTTATTTTCCATTCTCTTACACTCCAATTTTGTACTGATTAAACTCCAATTAATGCCAGTGGAAACACAGTATTAAATCAGACCCTACAAATGCTTCCAACAGCTGTTTGTTTCAGTGGTTGAAAACTTGATGACAGTATAAGCAGAGTATGCAGTGAATTCTGACACCATTTAAATAAGTGAGATTTTTGACACTTGATAGCTTGAACTTCCTAGATAATAACCCGTAATACTTCTCAGTAAAGGCATTCTATGAAATAAAACACAGCTTATGCTGGAAGTAATGTTATATTTTCACCTTTTATATATTACCAAAATATTAAAGGTAGATTAATAGATTCTAGTGTCATTGCAACAAGTTGGATGTATTTCGCTTGCATTTGGATGTATTTCAAAGATCTGATTTTCCTCCCTTTCAGATCAGCCTAATTCTCTACACAGCTCTCGAGGTCCCATGAACAGCCAGGTTAATGAAGTCCTGTTTACTGCCTCCCCCTATAATCAGCCTGTTGAGAGTTGCGAGACTTCATTTACACCTGCTGATAATCTAGAAAGAAAACTTCAGTCTGAATACAACTACCATGCGTTTGGGAGCCGAATGGATAAAGCAGTTCCACTTGTCAGATACACCCCTGAGATGAGAGAGGAAGAAAGGAGACGAAAAGTTTCCCATGATCCATTTGAAAAGCTGTCTCCTACTCCTCTACGCAATGAAATGTATCCAGGAGCTGAAAAAACAGGATCAAACACTAATCCGTATTTTCAGCCACAGCTAATTCCAGCAAAACCAAAACGGGGAAATGAAGATAATTTTTATGGGTCAAACCATAACAGTGTTCTCCCGGGACCCACAGAGCGTAACTACAAAGCGTGCTTAGCCAGAAGCCTTAGCTTAAGTAAACCTCCTGTGCCTGAATCTGACTCAAACCTGCTGTCACATCCCAATATAAGCTGGTATCCAAAGAATGCAGACACAGATACAGGTGAGACGACTCCTCTCCCAACACCTATGTTTCTGAGGACACACTTGTTCTCTAAAACTGAAGTGACCAAGAGTGTTGCATAGTGTATCTAACAAAAACCTGCACATTGCTAACAGTTGATCTGTGGCATAGCAAAGGTGAATTTATTTCATGAAGTTGTCTTTGTTTACCTGAAGTTAATTCAGTTTGCTAGAATGCCCTAGCTTTGACTTCATTATGCTTCTTTAATTCTGGGCTGTTAACTTCAAGTGAACCATTTCTAAAGCATCAGTGTAAGAGAGGAGCATCAGACCCAATGCCTAACTCTTCAGCTACCAACCAAGTAATAGCAGACAGCAGATACTGCTACAGCAGCTACCAAAACCAAGAGCTGCTACCAGTCATTCTAGGAAACCAAAGGAAAACTTCTGACTCTCAAAAACATAGCATTCACACCTTAGGTTTTACTTGTGTAGAAACAACATTTGTAGCATTTCAGAAAATACGCATTTTAACTTGATTTGCAGCAAGGTAAGAGACTCCTAAGCTCAGGGAGCGAACAAGGTGCTAAGGCTCATAACTGTTTTTTTCAGAGAGCCTCGTGCTGATGAGGATCTTCTGTTGGCATCTGATAGTGAGCTATGGAGTAGAAAGGTATGGAGACAAAGAAGGAAGAGAGCACTGAGCATTGGCAAAAAGGATAAATAAATGGTAACAAGAGGTCTACGAGGTGTAACTTCTAGGAACTAGAGGCAGCATGAGATACATTCAGCTTGCTTCTACTAAATACTGGATATTTTTAGTGTGGCATTCTTTTCCAGATTATCTCACAAGACAATCAAGGATGCCTAGCTCTATACAGGCAGAATGCCAGAAAGGTGTTACTCCGTTAAATTATTTATGCAGAGGCAGGGATTAGTTGTTTATGTGAGTTTATTTACCAAAATGAATCTGAGAGCTGTCATGTCAGGAGGCAGGGATTAGAACTGTTGACATCACTAATAAAGTAAAATCTTCTGTTTGAAAGAAGAAAACAGTTATTACAGGAAGGCTGCATGCAATAGTGTGGCAGGTATCAGACTGGGAAGCAGAAAGGCTGCATTGGTATTCACACACTCACATGAAAGCCCACACCCTCCCTGGGATCCAAGGATGGTTAAGGCTGAGCAAATCACTGAGCAAAACAACAACATGGTCATTGCTTTAACTAGAGCTGTTAAACAAGATACAATCTAGTTAATTAAAAACATTCTCTTCTCTTTGTATTTAAGAGCACAAACTATTTACCCATACTGATCAAATATGGCAGTAATTTTTAAGTACATTTGCTTTTTTATTTACATAATGCTTTGGGCATTTTTTTTTCCACTCCTTTGTTTAGGTACCAAGGATTCCAATTCTTTTGCCAGGGCAAATTTTACATATTTTCCTCCTGCACCTCAGTTGCCCAGAGGAAGCACGGGTAAGTGCTGTAGCCTTCTTCTGCCCTGGTAACCAACAGGATTTGCATTGCAGGCTGATCAGTAAAGCAGAAAAACTTCAGGATCTTGAAATAATTTCTGTTATTGTTTAATACTTCTATAACCATGGCTGAAGCTATCAGTACCAATATGTAACACTCATTCTGGTCTCTAGAAGGACCTGTATACACCATTAAATGTGTATTTGATGAATCAAGGACAATATTTCTTATGTAAAAGAGCTTTTAAAAACATGAAGGCGTTGTAAGATCCCTCGTACCAGTCATTTTCTTAGATTAAACACGAAGTTGCTGTGACTGTACCCAACTCTTGAATCAGACATGCAATTGGGACACCTGTCCTTTCTTGCTCTGGATTTTTAACACAAATCTCTAGCTGCAGACCTTGTGCTGATCAGCCTTCCTTGGAGCACAGGTCTCTACAGTTCAGCTGTCTTAAACACCTGAAATACTGTGCTGTCCTTCAGGAGTTGTGAATATATGCTCTTTTCAAGTTGCATTGCTTGGCCACCCTGAACTCTTTAATCAACTCTTTCAAGGCTTGTACAGTTTGTAAGTGTAAACAAAGAAAACTTGAAGCAGCAGGTTTCTGTCTTCCTGACTGTATGCCCCTTAGAGTCTTTTAGATGATGACCCAAATGTGACAAGCAAGCAAAGTGTGGAGGCTTGGGAAAGGAGAATTGTAAGCACTGTAACCTTTTCTGTTGATATTGAAAAAGCAGTTGTACATGTTTTCATATTTTGTGCTAGATTCATTTTGGTACCAGTTAAGAAAATAGCAAACATATGAGATTTGTTTATTTTTTAGCTAAAAGTATGAACATATTTCCTGGGTCCTTCACCTCAGAAAAAAAAAAAGGACAGGATACAGGAATCCTACTATTTCGAGACATGATAAAATGCATTCATTTTGTGCAACTTCTAGAAACTAATCATGTATACATAAAAGTATTTCTGAGTAGCAGATTCAGGTTAACAAACATTAAATGCATTTAGTCAGATTTTCATAGATGACCGTAGATTTCCACATTTCACATTGCAGTTGAGTGTGTAACAAGGATGTTTGTGCATCTAACCATCATTTTGGGTGACTGAATACAGAGCTTGGTCTATTGCTTTAAGTATCTGTACTTCAATTTTAGACACAGGTTGTGATATTCACCATGTAAACTAGAGTTAGAATGTCAAATGGATGATTATCCAAAGTTCAGAAAACATGGTCAAGAAAACAGAAAACTGATGTAACATAACATGACTAGAATCGTCGCTTAGTTTCATGTTATGTGTGGAAATTGGACAACTGTAGGCAGAATACACCAAGTTAGGTGTTTAACTAATCACATACAAGTATGCTGCAGATGCAAGCTCCCTGAGGTGCACACAACTTAGCTGTGCAATTGGCGCACATACACATTGACTTTTATTGCTGGGATTCAGGCCTTAAGATAAAGGAGTAAAATAAAATAAAATAAAATAAAATAAAAGTTGAAACAAACACTGTGCAAGTCGTGCACTGTGATTCACTATGAAAATAGATACAACTGAAGAATATACTCCTAGATAGCAGGGATGAAAGTGTGAAACAGTGAGATGCCATCAAGATGCCATCAAGACAGCATAGTATAACATGGAGTATAGAAACTTTATGAGAAACTAGAAATTATTTTCTGTAGTCTCACAGAACCTGAACTTACATCTATGAAAAGTAAAGCTGAGAGATAGAAGTAGGGGTTTAAGATTTAAACAAAAAGCACTTTCAAGTAAAGACTGATCTCCTGAAGCTGTCAGCCAGCAAAGAGCAAGGCTGCAGCTACACATTTCTAAAGCGCAGGGAACATTATTTACAGTCTAGCAACTCCCAGCATGTAAAGCTTGTTTATGGCACTTTGTTGTAGAATAAAATAGGATGGGCTTTCACTAAAGTACGTTTATGTCACACTGCATAACGAAAATATGTTCATAGTTGCCAATAAATAGCCTTTTTTACACTAAATGCAGTAAAAACATTTAACCACTTCCCTGATCAGCAGAACCTTCTTCCTCCTAATGCCCTCCTCCTGTTACTTCTTGACATGCAGTTGTTTACAAAATTGTATTAAATTCCCTTACACAGAAGATTCAATCAAGTACAACATAAGTAACATTTCTGGATTTCAAATTGGATCCTACAATCACATGAAGATTGAAGACCACAATCAACACATCAGCACTTCACCTATTGCTACAAAAGCGACTTATATGCATTATGAAGCAACAGGTATATTTGGTAAGAGAAATACTTCCCTAGTTTTGATGTGTTCTCCCCATATATTTATCTGAGAATCATTTGGTTTGGAGTATATTAAAGGAGCAGAGCTTTCTCCCTCTGATACTTGAGAAATAACCATTTGGGTCCTTTTCTACTACATACTTAAGAGTGTATAAAACAAGTAAGGGTTTGTGCTAATACTGTTCTTCAATACCATGTACCTCATTTGTCCTGTATTTTTGTGACCTCTTACAAGACATCAGATGCAAGTATAGCTGTATATGCATAAAGAACAAGAGGAATAAAACACTCAAATTGGTAGAAGCAACGTTAGGATTAGTGATTCTTGCCTGACTTATAATTTAAATCATTGAATAGCGTGAGTTGGAAGGGACCCATGAGGATCATAAAGTCCAGCATACAGGGAAACCTAAAAGTTAAACTGTATATCTAAGAGCTTCTTGAACACCGGCAGGCTTGGGGCCATGACCACTTCCTTTGGGTAGATACAGGAAGATCTTGAAATTTAATTTATTTTAGTTGGTCAGCACTGAATTAAACTATCCCTATATGTTCCTAAGTGAACAAATTAATAGTGTCCCAGAATATAAAACATATCATGCAGACATCAGTCAACTGTATAAGAATTCTAGGAAGAAGCTTTTCAATTTTGCAGATGCTTAATTGACAAATTATGATAGCCACAGATCAGAAAGCAAGTCCAGCAACTGACCTGTGTATCCACATGTTCTGACTGGGAGTTTCTTTCCTAGCATCATTGGGTAATACTGCCTCCGTGAAACCCACTTCTGATTGTATCATTAAAATTCTGTCTCCAGATATTACCAATAAAGAGTTGAGGGAGGACAGGTGAGATGATAGCAAAAGGAGCAGAAGATGCATTAAACAATACCATTTACTTCTACTCTTTTTCTTTGTGCAGACAATACCACTGTCCTGACCGACAAACATCTGAACCTAGTGAGAGAAAAGTTGGCTAAACAGTGGAAGCACTGTGCTCGCAAGCTGGGCTTCTGCAATTCCGAGATTGATGAAATCGATCACGACTATGAACGAGATGGACTCAAAGAAAAAGTTTACCAAATGCTGCTTAAGTGGGAAATGAGGGAAGGCTCCAAAGGTGCCACAGTGGGAAAGCTCGCCAAAGCCCTCTTCGGCTGCCAAAGACTGGATCTCCTCACTAGTTTGATGTATATCAATGAGGAGTAAGTTGACTGAGAACTTGGGGAAAATGAGGGTATTTTTTCCTGAAGACCTCCCAATAACAAGTTATCATTCTGAACAGGCTTTCTGGAGCTCTTATTTTTGCAGAGACTTTTTGGAACACATTTTTTCTGCCAAGAGTTTTCAGTGAAAGCCTCCAGTAAATCACAAAGTTTATGTCAAGACAACTCATCTTTCAAAGGATAAAAGAAAATAAGCATCTTCCTTCTGAATAAAATTACTGTCTGAAGATAACAACAACCAAATGGAATACTAATATCAATTCAAGGAGAATCCATTATACAGAATTTCTAGCTTGAAACATGTTGGTGCACCTCCTGGGTGCTAAGGTTAACTGGCATGCCACAGCCTGCTGCCAGCATAACAAATTCTTTACACCTCCAAAATATTGTGCAAAGGCTATTTCATAGCGCTAAAGTTGTGTCAGGGAACACTGGAACAGCTCTGAAGCACAGGTAATGGGATCCCAGTGCCTGGGAGGGTTCATTGCCACTAACAGACTAACATTGACATAATCTCACTGTGCAAGATTTATGAAAGGAGAATTACTGAGCTCTAAATTTTTATGCTCTAAGAATAATCACGCCAAACTCTTCCTGTGAAGGATGATACTACTACTTCCTACTTCCATCAAATCTACAAATATTTCCAGCAAATGGTTTGGACCAGGTCTTTCTTTATGCTGTAGAAAATGTGGGAAGTGTTCATTAGCTTCTGGTTATTGTCAAAAAAGCTAACAATTTAATAAAAGTATCTTTAGAATGGATTTCTGCTCTTTGATACATGAGACGCCATTTTAGTAGAAGCAAAATCTAACTGGAATCATAGCAAGCACCAACATATTTGTCATCTTTAAATCTACTTAGCATAGTGGAAATGTCCCCCCAAAATGACAAGTTTAGCAGAAACCAATACAAAGACTGCACTGAAGTGGTTATATATTTATTGTCAACCTGTGCTAAAACTCATCCTTCCCTTTCCTTTGAGGCTAGCTTGGAGTGTATCAGTATATACCACAGTGATATTTATATTTTGAATTCATCAGAATTTATTGCATTGCCTTACTGTTATGACTTAGCAACATGTTAAATTTTCTATAACTCTTGAGTACAACAGACAAATAAAGGACATCATTGCCTAGTATAATGAGCATACACTTTCCAGAATAATAACTAATCTTCTTGAAGCAGATAGAGAAATACACAGAGTGGGGAGGAGTATTCTTCTCTGTGTCAGTTCACAGAGTGTTACAACCACCAGCTACTATGTTACCTCATGAAACAGATCCTGAGCAGATCTAGAGTCCATTTATGTTCCAGTAAGGTTTCCTTCGCTGTATTGCTACATCAGCTCCCTAACCCCCATTTGCTTTTAAGTCTCACATAGTCTTTACACCATGTGCTATTTTTCCATCACAAGGTCCTTGTCTTACTTGGTACGTAGAATGAATTGTGATCATTTAATGGGCGTACAGTAAATGCTTCATTTTCTGTTTATTAAAGAAAGCAAGCCTGTACCTTAACATGTTGTGAAACAATGACAAAGATGTAGAACCCAAACAGGAAGCATCTCAAAACAATACTTAGGCATAGGAACGTCCTAGATCTTTAAAGTGGGATGTGGGAGATGTAGGCCACTTTAGATTTGATGCTGTCAAGTTCAACTCTAGACTAGTTCAGGTGACATTGTGGATATAGTACAGAAAACAACCACAAAACCAATAGCTAGAGACAGTCTCTTTTAGTGCAACACTTACAGAACTCAATCACAGAGAAGAAGATTCAGCTTTCTGGGCAGGAAATGTAAAGGACTACAAGCTCTTCAGCATATTGTGGAAAACCACATAATAGAACCCAGTGCCTGGAAGCTGCAGGCAGGCATGCCAAAATTAGAATACGTATTTAATAATGGGGATGATTAACTACTAGAATAAACTACCTAGGGAGTCTGTGGATCTTCTTGATATCTTTTAATTAAGACTGGTCTTGTTTCTTAAGATGGCTATAGTCAAAACCATAGCTATAATTCTCAATACAAAGTTAACTAGGTGAAGTGTAAAAGATAAAGGTGTATAAGAAGTCCAAAGAAAAGAGTTAGTGCTCTCCCCTGGCCTAAAAAAAATTATAGAAACATTAAGCGTGGGAGACAGAGAGAGACCAGCTAACATTAACTTACTGGGTTGCTCATTTCACCACCCCACCACCTCCCCACCAAAAAAAAAAAACAAAAAAAAAACCCAAACAAAAAACTAGGATGGAGTTGATTTTTGAAAAGCAACCTATCATAACAGATCAAAAATTCAGGAAAATAATGGAGACAAAGAAGAAAGAGAGATACGTTACAGCGCATGTCAGATATCCTTTGTGGCAAAAAAAAAGAAAGGACAGAAGAACAATTTCACATCAAACTGGAAAGCTATCAGCCTCAAGGACAGCGGTGGCAGTAATGCAGCAGCCTTACAAAGATTGTTCATAAGATGGGTGAAAAGCAAGCCAGGGAGAAAAAGGCTGTGGGGTGCAGCAGCAAACCTCCTTCTCATGGTCTCTCCTTGAAAAACGTATAAGCAGGTGAACTCATCTATTTATGCACAAGGACATTATGTTTTCCCATTTTAAATGTGTAGGAGCTTTGAGACTTCAGATCATGGTTTTATTGCTAGTTGGTTCTGCTCACAGAAAACACTAGTTTAAGATATTAAAGAGTTCCCTACTGAGAATTCTTGTGTTCTTTGGAATCACTTGCTTTTGCTGTCTCCTTTATTCTAAGCAACAAGTCTAGGAGATTTTTATGTGGAGGCAAAGCTAGAACACAGTTTAACAGCAAATGATCAAATACCATTCAAGTACAGCTTCCACCCCATAACTACAGTCCTCATTACACAGCAGCCAGTCTGTGCTGAAATTCTTAAATGCAGAGAGGATTAGAGTCTGTGCAATTCAGAGTAATTTATTTGGCTAATTTTATTACTATGTCCCCATTAACAGTGTTCAAGCAGCTAAGAATTTTGGGGAATTTTTACTGCTTTCAAAATAGCTGCTAAATAATACCAATTAATAATCCTGAATGAGAAAGTCAGGACACTGTTGCAAGTATTTGAGATGGGAACTTTGAAGTAAGGTGGCAACATACTGCTCCTCCTCCTCAGAGGCCAGTTTCCAAGGGGAGGCGATACTTGAAAACTTGGCCTCTGACTGATCAAGCAGCTTTAAATTAACTACATCACTTTTCTCCGAAAGATTTTTTTAATCATTACACTAGAACCAACAAAAACCTTATTTCAGTTTTGGAGGGACATGGAAAATAGATTAAGAATCTCTGAGTCTCTGAAACATGCCCAGCTTTGTACATAGTGAGGAGCTACAGGGAAAGAAGGAAGTATCATTTAATGCAAGCAAGGCCACAGCAGAGCTAATTAGCACTTGGGAGGGCTTTCTTCTCTGGGTCCTAGTGCTCTCTAGGCATTTTTTTCCACCCCTTCTTGATCCCAGTCTCTCCAGATTACGGAAAGCCTCCTTGCGGCATGCCAGGCTTCCCTCCTAGCATACCAATGAGCACCAGGAGTCAGCCGACTGATGCTCATTTGTTCCTCACCACCAAAGGACAGCTAGGGAAAGTGCAGCTCTCACACTCCATTCTTAATACAGCCCCTGGAGAGAAGAGAAGGGGGAAGTTAGGATCAGAACAGGGTCTAAGGGTGCCCAGTCTGGAAGCTGTCTTTGTGCTGGATGAAGCATTGCCTGTGAGTGAAACGAAGGAGACCAGACTCCTGACTTCTACTGAGTTTCCCTCTCCCACCTCTCTACAACTCTAAGTAGGTCACTTCCTTTCTCTTTAGCACAGTTTCCTCATCAGTTTGGTACAGACACCAACTTCTGCCAGAAGTAAAGTGTGATCAGATAATAAGCGTTAAAGCTTATAAAGCTCAGAGAGATGCTTGATGAGAGCTTTTTGAGACAAAAGTCCATGCTAATCCATCCTGGACTGCAATTCCTGTGCACCTCATATATATCTCATGTCAGGAGAACTAAACGCAGCACTGGAAGGGACATGTAGGTCACTGTGATCAGTAAAAGAGATTCATACAACCCCTTCCACAAACATATCAAGATCCATCTTCTGAATGTTACTCTTGTCCTCTCCAAGGGAGAAGCTGTTTCTGCTTTTGTACCAGAGTATTTAGAGCCATTTCAGATGTCTGAATCTAGAACTCACTGAATCTGAACAAAATTATACCATGACTCTGCTTAGATTTACAGGATTGAGAGCACATTCAACTTTGAAATTATAAGACCATCTCGCACTGACATGTCTGCACTTGGGCACTTCGGATTTATAATGCAGTTATTCATGAACATATGAAAGGTATGCAGACACTACCTAAGCTGACAGACTACTATCTTTTGCTAGAATAAGAAAAATACAGGCAAACATAAAGAAAACAATTTCTTCAAAAACAATTTCTTCATCAGCCTGAAATGTTCTTTGAGCCAAGATATCCAGGATCTTTTTCTGCTACCTGTTCTGTTTATCGCAAAGCATCCTATTTTTTGCAGTGTGAGTCTGGTTGTTCTCAACTTGGCTAACATTCTAGCTGAATAGGTCTCCTGCTACAAAAACACATGCTGCTGGTCTCCACATTTCACAGCTTCAAAAGTCATTCCACATCTACTCAGTCTGTCTTGTTTGGAAGGTCGATACCAAATCATAGAAACATCAGCATTTTCACATCTTCGTTCTGAATTTGGCAATTCACCACTACCCAGATACTGCCTCTTCATCATGCTGGAGCAATGACATTTTGTTCTAAGGTGAAAACATTGTCTGCTCTAATGAGCAATATCCAGGAGGCACAAGAGCCCAAGTATCAAAACAAGCACGAAAATAGCAGGGAATTTCACTTCACAGAAGTAGCTAAAATAAAATAGGCAAAAATGATCCATCAGTGTGTACACAGACTCAAGAAGCAAGTCTGCAGCAAAAAGCAA